GGAATTGAGCCTGAGTCCTCTGCTAGAGCAGTTAGCGCTCTTAACCGCTGAGCCATCTCTCCAGCCCCATATGCTGAAGCTTTTTATTTTAAGTGAATTACTCCATTGATTTACTAGCTAGCATTCCCTTGCTAAATCATGCCAGATGTGCTTTAAGAATTTTATATTAATAATATTTAGACTTCTAGCCTGGTATGGTGGTGCATGCCTATAATCCCAACTCTTGGGAAGTTGAGACAGGAGGATTGCCATGAGTTGAAGGCCAGATTGACCTCTAGTGATCCCATCTCAATACTTCTGCAATAATTATTTGTCATGTATACCTCTTTCTGTAGGAATTCTTTTTTTTTTTTTTTAATTTGTTTTTATTGGGCCAGGCGTGGTGGTGCATGCCTTTAATCCCAGCACTGGGGAGGCAGAGGCAGGCGGATCTCTGTGAGTTCAAGGCCAGTCTGGTCTACATAGTGAGTTCCAGGACAGCTGAGGCTACAGGGAGACCCTGTCTCAAAAAGACCAAAAAAAAAAAAAATTGTTTTTATTGAATTTCTGTGAGAACATCTCAATCTTTTTAAAAAATACTTTATTACTTTTATTCTGTGTGTATGCGTGTATTGTACCCCTATCGTGCAGTGCCCGCGGAAGACAGAAGAGGCTGTCGGATCCCCTGGAACTGGAGTTACAGACAGTTGCTAGCTGCCGTGTGGGTGCTGTGATTCGAACCTGGGTCTTCTGCAAGAACAGTCAGTGTTCTTAACCACTGAGCCATCTCTCCAGCCCCAGGGATTATTTTCTTATACACTACACTACTAAATTGTTCTTTAGGCAAGTTGTATTGAAGAAGGTGTCAGGTCCCCCAGGAGCTGGAGGTTGTGAGCTGCCCTACGTGAGTGCTCTGAATTGAACTCAGGTCCTCTACAAGAGCAGTACATAATCTTAACCTCTGAGTTATCATACCAGTCCCTTGTTTTACCACATCTCTGCAATACTTGGGACTTTTTTTTAAAATTAATTATTTTTATTATTATATGTATACGAATGTATTGCTTGCATGTGTGTAAGTGCATCTGTGTCATGCAATGCCTAAGGAGGTTAGAAGAGGGTGTCAGATCCCTAGAACTGGAGCTATAGACAGTTTTTAGCTGTTATATGGGCTATATGGGTGCTGGGCATTTGAACCCAGGTCCTCTGTAAGAACAGCCAGTGCTCTTAACCACTGAGCCATCTCTCCAGACCCTTATTTTACCACATCTCTGCAACACTTGGGAATTTTTTTTTTTTAAAGAAAAAAAAAAAATTGAGACAGTCACATACAACCCAGGCTGACTCCAAATATAGCCAATGCTGGCCTTGAACTCTTAATCCTCTGACCTTTACCTCCCAGAGTGCTGGGATTGTAGGTGTGTGCCACTACACCTGACTTTTGTTGTTGTTGTTTGAGATAAGGCCTTACTTTGTAGCCCAGCCTGGTCTTCTACTCTTAAATCCTCCTACCTCCCTTTAGCCTCAGCTTCCCAAGTGCTGGGATTATAGACATGCACCAGCCACTAGGCCCTGCACTAGCTTTGATTTTCTAAAGAAAGATATTTTATACCTGACCATTCTCAGCCAATCCCTGAAATGTTTCTGTAGGGAGAACATTACTTTCTTCTGATATAGTGCCTCTCTTCGTCAAGTCCCTATAACCCTGTTGTAGGACAGTGACTCCCAGCTTATCTTTCACAGTCCACCAACCACTGCCCCTGCTCTCCCATGTGCTTTTCCCAGCTCCCCAAAAGGACCAATCTGCCTTACCTTTCTTTGGCCCTTTATTTTTTTCTTAGGCATTGAAAGACAGGAAGAAAGGAGGGGAGGGAGTGAAAGAGCTTATGAAGGAAACACCACACTGGCATTTCCTCATAGTTCTGCTCCCTGCACCTCAGTTCACTTGGCATTAGGGTGCCAGTGTATTCTCCTTGTTTATGGGCTCTAACACCTGGTCCAGGAGACCATCATTTGTTTTGTTTAAAACCTTATCTCATTCCAGTGAGGTATTCTGCCAACCCATGTTTAGATAATTGCTATTTTACTTTAGTATTACCCACCATAATTAGATATCTTCCCAATGGGAGTGTATATTTTTCATTTCTGTGAGAACTAGACAGGCAGATGTGCTTTGTTGAGGGTTTGGGGTGCTGGTGGTTGTGATACAAGAATTTAAACCTGCAAACATATTGATCCCAAGGGATAATAAGAGATATACCTCTGCCATGCCACCTGCCTCCCTTGTGGTTCTAACTGGTTTATTTTTCTTATTTCCTGGGAAAGACCTAAGGGATGTAGTGGGAGTGGATAGGAGGTCACCCTCCCTCTCTTTTGGCCATGGAACCAGCCAGAAATTTCTAAGTGTTCTGATTTAAGACAGGCCAGGCTTATCACACTATATAAATGTCTCTTTTCACCCTCTTCTGCTTTTCAGCTGGTTAGAAACTTAGGGTGAGCCAGGCATAGTGGTACATGCCTTTAATTCCAGCACCCCTGAGGCAGAGACAGGAGGAACTCTGTGAGTTAAAGGCCAGCCTGGTCTACATTGTGAGTTCCAGGCCAGCTGGGACTACAGGGAGACCCTGTCTCAAAAAGACCAAAAATAAAGAAGCTTAGGGTGAAACTAATATGTATGATTTCCTATCATAGAGCATGGGCTCTGCAGGGGAGGGCCAGCTGCATATATCCGTTAGAATGACAGGCACTCAATGCAGATGATGCAGAACATAGTTCAGAGGGGCCCTAGTGGTCATTGATCCTGTTCTCTTTTTCTCTCGTAGCCCTTACCAGCATCCAGCCATGGGGGATATGAAAACCCCAGATTTTGATGACCTCCTGGCTGCTTTTGACATCCCGGATCCTACCAGCCTTGATGCCAAGGAGGCCATCCAGACTCCCAGCGAGGAGAATGAGAGTCCCTTGAAATCTTCAGGCATGTGTATAGATGAAAGTGTGTCCTTGTCTCACTCAGGATCAGCCCCAGATGTACCAGCTGTGAGTGTCATTGTCAAGAACACCAGCCGCCAAGAGTCCTTTGAAGCAGAGAAAGACCACATTGCTCCCAGTCTCCTACACAATGGATTTCGGGGCTCAGATCTGCCTCCAGACCCCCACCACTGTGGGAAATTTGATTCCACTTTCATGAATGGAGACAGTGCCAGGAGTTTCACTGGCAAGCTAGAGCCTCCCAAGTCGGAGCCATTACCTACCTTCAACCAGTTCAGCCCAATCTCCAGCCCAGAACCTGAGGATCCCATCAAAGATAATGGATTTGGAATAAAACCTAAGCACTCTGACAGTTATTTCCCAGCCCCTCCTGGGTGCGGGGCTGTGGGGGGCCCAGTCTTGGAGGCTCTGGCTAAGTTCCCAGTCCCAGAGCTACACATGTTTGATCACTTTTGTAAGAAAGAGCCCAAACCAGAACCCCTGCCTTTAGAGAGCCAGCAGGAACAAGAGCGAGTGGGGCAGAAGGGGGTGGAGCCTCTCAAAGATCTGGATTCTGATCGGTTCTTCGGGGAAGCTTTAGAGTTCAATAGTCACTCTAGCAACAGTACTGGAGAGCCCAAGAAGCTTGTCCCAGAGCTTGGTTCTTGCTCTTCTGTCCCGCCTAGGCAGCGTCTTAAGCCAGCCCATTCCAAGCTATCCTCTTGTGTTGCAGCCTTGGTGGCCCTGCAGGCCAAAAGGGTGGCCAGTGTCACCAAAGAGGATCAGCCTGGTCACACAAAGGATCCCTCAGGGCCCATTAAAGAGTGTTCTAAAGGCAGCCCCAAAATGCCCAAGTCACCAAAGAGTCCCCGGAGCCCTCTGGAGGTCACTAGAAAAAGTATCAAGCCATCAGACAGCCCTCGGAGCATCTGCAGTGACAGTAGCAGCAGAGGCTCCCCTTCTGTGGCTGCTAGCTCCCCACCAGCAATTCCCAAAGTCAGAATCAAAACCATCAAGACATCGTCAGGGGAAATTAAACGGACTGTTACAAGGATCTTGCCAGACCCTGATGATCCAAGTAAGTCCCCTGTTGGATCACCTGTAGGGAGTACCATTGTTGAGGCCCCAAGTGAGGTGCCAGGGGATGAGGGCACAGCCCTGCCTGTGGAGGAGCACTTTCCTGAGGCAGGCACAAGTTCAGGGAGCCCCCAGGGTGATAGGAAAGGGGATGAGAGTGTGACAAGAGCCAGTGACTCATCTCCTTGTCGAAGCTCTGGATCCCGGGGTCCAAAGGGAGCTGGCTCAAGTTCACAGACAAGCAAGAAGCAACAGAGCACAGCACTGCAGGCATCAACCCTGGCCCCTGCCAATCTCTTGCCCAAAGCTGTGCACTTGGCTAACCTGAACCTGGTTCCCCACAGTGTTGCCGCATCTGTGACTGCCAAGTCTTCAGCACAGAGACGGGGCCAGCCTCACGTCACGCAAATGACAGTGCCCCTGGTCCACCAGGTGAAAAAGGCAGCCCCTCTAATTGTAGAAGTCTTTAACAAGGTCCTCCACAGTTCCAACCCTGTACCCCTCTATGCGCCAAATCTCAGCCCACCTGCAGACAGCAGGATTCATGTGCCGGCCAGTGGGTATTGCTGTCTGGAGTGTGGAGATGCATTTGCCTTAGAGAAGAGCCTGAGCCAGCACTACAGCCGGCGGAGCGTCCACATTGAGGTGCTGTGCACACTGTGCTCCAAGACGCTGCTCTTCTTCAACAAATGCAGCCTGCTTCGCCACGCCCGTGATCACAAGAGCAAGGGGCTTGTCATGCAATGCTCCCAGCTTCTCGTGAAGCCCATCTCTGCGGATCAGATGTTTGTGTCGGCTCCTGTGAACTCCACAGCACCAGCAACCACCCCAGCCCCCTCTTCCTCCCCCAAACCCAGCCCCACTTCAGGCAGTGTTAGCTCTGCACTTCCAGCCTTGCCACTTTACCCAGACCCAGTGAGGCTCATCCGGTATGGAACCAAATGTCCTGAATGTCACAAGCCAATGCGGGACTACATGGTCCTGGCTGCACATTTCCAGAGAACAACGGAGGAAACTGAGGGGCTGGTAAGTAGACCCTCACAAGTTCACCTATGTCCCATGATAGGGCCCAGAGAGAAGAACCTGTTAATATGAGAACAGTAGTAGAATCTAAGAGTCTTAGAAAAGGGTGTTTGTCTTCATTATTAGTGTCTCACCTGAGTATGTAGTGCTTGGTGCCCCTACCCATACTTGTGAGAAAAGCCTGATGATCTAGCAAGTTTGGCGGGGAATGGTGATGTATGCTTGTAATTCTAGCACTTGGAAGGCTAGGCAGGAGGATCATGAGTTGAGGCCATTCTTGACGATAATAAGACTGTCTCAATAGAACAAAACAGTGTCTTTATGTCCCATGTTCCACTCAACTCCCACTCAGATTGTCTGTGTGATCCATTGTCAGGCCTTTGTTAGGGTTCAACTGGATAATCTGGCTTCTTGTAGATGGCAGCATGGTTTTGGCATGTGCCTAAAGAACCAGGGGACAGAGGAATATGAATCACTGCCTTGTGCCTTAATCTTTTTTAAAATCTCTTTAGTAAGTCATTCTGAGCCAAGTGTAGAGGTACATGCCTATAATCCCAGCATTTGGGAGACAGAAGAAGGTGGATTGCTGTGAGTTCTGGGCTAACCTGGGCTCCATAGCCAGTTCTAAGCTAGCCAGGGCTACGTACCCTATCCTTTTTTTTTTTTTTTTTTTGGTTTTTTTGTTTTTTTCCTGTGTGGGTGGTAGGGGGGTTTTTGTTTTACCAAAGAGAGAAAAAACGTTTTTTTTTTATTTTCTTTTTTTTTTTTTTTTTTTTGGTCTTTGAGACCAGAGAGTCTTCCTGTCTGGCCTGGAACTTGCACCACCATGCCCTACTGTAAGACTCTGTCTTAGGGAAAGAAAGGTCTCCAGATTTGGGTTCTCTGTCTCTTCTGTGTATGTGTGTTGCATGCATGTGAGTGTACAGGTGTGTATGTACATGCCAAAGGAGGACATAAGGTTTCTTTATCACACTCTTATCTTCTTTTGAGACAGCCTCTCTGGATTAGAAGCTCACCGTTTTGCCTAGGCTGGCTGGACAGCAAACTCCCAGGATCCACTTGTCTCTGCCCCACAACACTGGGTATATAGGCATGTGCAGCCAGGCCCAGCATTTTTACATGAGTGCTAGAGATTCAAATTCAGTTATTCATACTTTCACAGCAAATACTCTTAACCATTGTGCCACCTCCCCAGCCCCTGCAGTTCTTTTCATGACACAGCCAAGCCCATTGCCTCACTATGCCTCCCTCAGCCAGGGCTGCAGAGACCTGGGAGGAGAATAGAACAGGTACTTTGACTTTGATCCAGCCCAGGAATCTGTGTTGGTGGCTGATGAGCGTTGCATCTTTCCTGCATGCCTACTGTGGCCAAGACTGCTGCTCAGGGATCTCATGGTGATGGCAAGGGCAGTAGTCGTCACCCAAACAGCTCCTGTGTGTGACAGACCAAATGAGGTTAAAACAGGCTTTAGAACTTAGTTGTATAACTTAGAGGAACTACTAATTCATAGTGACTGCAGACATAGGGACAGTGTTGTATGGTCATGTTGGTTAAACTGACTCACAAGGATTGGGGAGGGCAGTGCCTGAAGGTGTTTCAGCTATGGGAAACACAGGTCTAAGTTGTATAGAGCAAAACTGAGTGAGGAACAAGGCCCTGTTGGGTGTGGTTGGCCATGAGTACTGGGTAGAGGAAGCTGAGCCTGCTAGATCTGTACAGCTTCTGCAGAGGACTCGGCCTCCAAAGTGGCCAGGGAGTGCCGTAGGGTCACTGTGTGGCTTCTCATCTTCACCTTCTTTGTCCCATTTTCCTTGTGATGAGTCAGATGGGGTGTGGTAAGCGCCCATCCCCCAGTGGCTTCCATGTTCTTGTTTGTCCTAGCATACTTAAGTTGGGTCAGGACTCTATTTCTGGGTTTTGTGACTGAAGATTTAATGGCAGAGAGGGTCTGGTGCCTGGGGTTTTGCCACATTGCTTTTTTTAACCTATCTTCTGAAGTCTCTGTAGATAGAAATGGGGCCTAGCATCAGGGCTGGACACCCCTCTCATCCTACACCTTTCCTACGTTACTTTGTCCGTGTGGGAGCCAGACAAAAGCACATCTCAGTCAGGTATGAAAGATTATTCAGAAAGGCCCTGGGGTTTCTGTAGGCCTAACTTAATCCTTCACAGTATCTTCTGTTGCTAAATGTGGCTTCTGGGTTTTAGAGAAGGGGGAAAGTATGAGATCAGGAGCTAGCCTTGTTGACCATTGGACTTGGGTTCCCGTGACAGTACCCAATTTCAGGCCAGACAGCTAGGGTAAAAGGTGCCCGGATAAGGTGAGATGGTACTCCCTACCAAAGCAGGGGCACCATCTTCCTAGAAGTCTGCTCCTGAACTGCCACCCCCTGCATTGACTAGGGTAGAATAAGGGGACTTTTTATCCTTTCCTTTGCACTCCATGCCACTTGGTTAGGGCAGAATTTCAACACATAGGGACTCTTCTTATTCTTAAGCTTCGAGTTAACTATGTTGCCATTATCACACCTAATAAAAATAATAACATTCCTTAATATTACTTAATACAAATCCACATTCAAACTTTCCTAACTGTGTTTAAAAAAAGAAGTCTTATAATGAATGGGCCTTTTATTTTTACTGTTTTTTATTTTTCTTATTTATTTGTTTTGAGACAGGGTCTCCCTGTAGCCCCAGCTGACCTGGAACTTGCTATGTAAACCAGGCTGGCCTCAAACTCACAGAGATCTGCCTGCCTCTGCCTCCCCGGTACTGGGATCACATGTTTGCACTGCCATGCTGGGATATTTTTACTGTTTACTTAATTTGATGCAGTGTCTCTTTTAGCCCTGGCTGGCCTCATTCATTATGTGGCCCCAAGGCTGACCTTGAATTCCTGATCTTCCTGCCTCTACCTCTCAACTGCTGAGATTGCAGCATGTCCTACCACATCTAGCCGTTTTTTTTTGTCCCCCACCCCCCTTTTTAAAACCAGGTCTTCCTAACTGCCCAGGCAGGCCTGAAACTCATGTTCCTCCTGCCTCAGTCTCCCGAGTGCTGAGATTATAGGTGTGTGCTACCATGCTTGGCTTACTTTGTTAGCTTTCTTGTTTGGTTTTTTGTTTTTGAGTGCTGAGGTTCAAATATAGAGCTTGTAGTATGTTAAGCAAACTCTCTGCCTCTGCACTAACCCTTAGCTAAGTCTGAATTTTCTCCCATCCTGGGCTTATTTTGAGTCAGCATCCAGAGGTCACATGTTACAGTGTTATTGTTCTCCCTCCCTTCCTTCCTTGTGGTTTTGATCTTTTTGAAAGAGGGTATTACTCTGTAGTTCAGACTTAACTCACTTATGTAACCAAGGCTGATCTGGAATTTGCAGCAATCTTGCCTCAACTGCCTGAGTTCAGGGATTCCAGGTATGAGCCATCACCTGGCTGTTGCTCAGTCTGTTACAGTATGTTTTCCCACTCCACCCCACACAGACCCCCTTTTTATCAGGCCATTGACTTACTGAAAAAACTCAGTCATGTGTCCTGAGAATTTTCCAGGACAATTTTGTGTTTGACTGATTGATTTCTCATATGAGTAATTTTTTTTTCTTTTGTAGACTAGAACTTGAGTTTTAAGGACTTGATTAGATTCGGATTCAGTTTTCTGGGCAGATGAGGGTCCTGTATTTTTCTTGTTTCATGACTTCAAGAGACACAATGGTCTTTTAATGATGCTAACTTGATCAGTGAGTTTAGGGTTGATTATCACATCTCTTCATCATAGAACTCCCTACCATTTGCCTAATGATTTTAGCATCCAATAAACACTGCTTGAGTCTAATTATATTGACTTATAAAAGTGTGTTTTTTCTAATCCTATTCTTTCTCCTATGTTATTAGCTGGAATTCTGTATTAAGTCTTCCCCTCTTTCAGGAGGCCTTTTGGTTACTGTGAAATATAGTTTATGTTAGAAAACAGGATAGTTGGGGCTGGAGAGAGAGCTCAGCAGTTAAGAACACTGACTGTTCTTGCAGAAGACCCGGGTTCAAATCCTAGCACCCACATGGCAGCTAACAACTGGCCGTAACTCCAGTTCCAGGGACTCCGACAGCTTCTTCTGTCCTCCTCGGGCATTGCACAACATGGGTGCACTTACCTACATGCAGGCAATACACGCAAACACATAAAATAAAAATAGTAAATGAAATATTTTAAAAAAGAAAAAAATAATTCAGTTCCCACACTGGGAATAGCTGCAGTGATTCATCCCAGGATTTGGGAGGCAGAGGCAGGTTTATCTCTGGATTCTAAGCCAGCCTGGTCTACATGGCAAGTTCCTGGTCTCAAAAAAAAAAGAAAGAAAACAGGATAGTTAATTTGTTTCCTTTAATGAACAGTCTTTAGAGTAGTGAGTTGAGGTCCTAATGATATTTTAAGAGTCTCCCAATTCTTTTAATTGGGAGAAAAAAACCACACAACATAAAAGTTTCCACTTGTAAGTTTACAGTTTAGTAATGTTAAGTACCTCTACATTTTGTGAAGCCAGGCTCCAGAACACTTTTCATCTTGTAAGAAGGAAGTGCTGTACCCATTTGACAACTCTCCTTATTCCCGCCCCCCGCCACCCCCAACCCCAGGCAATTGCCATTCTATTTTCTGTCTCTATTTATTTGACTGTTCTGACTGTCTTATCTAAGTGAAATCTTAACAGTATTTTTTTTTAATTATTAAAGCAGAGCTCTTGGAGTCAGGGATGTAGCTCAGTGGTAGAGTAAGGGTGTATAAGGCTCTTGGTTCAATTCCTAATACCACAGGAATTTGCAATTGTAATTATATTGATGTTCATGTTGTATAAAGTAACTCATTTAACAAAATAATACTTTGATTTTATAACAAAGAAGGAGAAATCTTTTCTCTGTTTTCTCTAACAGTTTGTCCTTCTGAATACCCTTTTGACCCCAGGTCTGTGGTTCCATGAGTGAGTAATCCAGGTGTCTCCTTTTTCTAAGAAGATAAGAAAGGCCTGTCCGGGATACAGGCACAAGGCTCAGCATGCTGCTGTCTCCTGGATTGTCTAAGTTCTGTCTGTTAGAGGAAAGAGGCACTCATAGTCGTAGAAGTACATAGAGAAAATAGGGTTAGGCCTGTCCTGACTGATAAGGTAGTAAAGCTTGCTCAAGTGTCAGTATCAACAGTTGTATGAGATCTAAGCATATCACGAGAGTACTAGGAGAGCTGGAAATGAAAATGGTTTGGGGAGGAGTCTCTTCTGACGCATGTCCTTGGAGAGCTACATAACTCTGATGGGAAAGCTACAGGTGTATGGCACCTGTATCATCTGCTTTCTTGGTGTTCTTTTCTAGACGTGCCAGGTATGCCAGATGCTGCTGCCTAACCAGTGCAGTTTCTGTGCCCACCAGCGGATTCATGCACATAAGTCCCCCTACTGCTGCCCGGAGTGTGGGGTGCTCTGTCGCTCTGCCTATTTCCAGACTCATGTAAAGGAGAATTGCCTGCACTATGCCCGAAAAGTAGGCTACAGGTGGGTGCTTCCTGGCTCACTGTCCAGTATTGCCCAATGGCAAGCCCTTTTCCTAGGCTGGGACCTATTATATTGAGATTTGGTCTTAAGAGTCCAGTAGGGCCCGGCGTGGTGCACACCCTTGATCCTGACACAGAGGCAGAGGCAGGTGCATCTCTAAGTTCAAGTCCAGCCTGGTCTACATAGTGAGTTCCAGGTCAGCTGGGGCTACAGGGAGACCCTGTCTCAAAGACCAAAAAAAAAAGACTCCAATGGAGGGGGTAGGGGGCATTGTTGAGGTGTCTCAGTGGGTAAAGACCCTTACTTTAGTCCCAATGACTTGAGTTCAATACACTGGACCCACATGGTGGAAAGAGAGAATCAACTCCCGAGGATTGTCCTTTGACCTACATACCTGTACCATGGCGCACATATACTTGTATGCACACACATACATGTACACATACACACACACATAAACAATAAAATCTTCAAATAAAAGCTCCAAGACCTTTCAAACTTGGCGACCCCTTGCCTAAACCTCTTGAGCGCTGAAATTAAAGGTATGCACCACCATACCTGCTGGTTCAGTCTGGGTTTTTGTTTTGTTTTGTTTTTGTCTTTTTTGAGACAGGGTCTCCTTGTAGCCCCAGCTGTCCTGGAACTCACTATGTAGACCAGGCTGGCCTCGAACTCACAAAGATCCGCCTGCCTCTGCCTCCCAAGTGCTGGGATTAAAGGTGTGCGCCACCATGCCTGGCTCAGTCTGGTTTTTTTTTTTTTTTTTTTTTTTTTTTTTAAAAGCATAGGACTGAAGAGATGGCTTAGCAGTTAAGAGCACTGACTGCTTTTGCAGAGGACCCAGGTTTGATTTCCAGCACCCACATAGTGTCTTAACAACCATCCATAACTTCAGTTCCAGGGGATCTGATATGCTTTTCAGACCTCCTTGGGCATTGCATGACACAGCTACACTTACATACATGTAAGCAATACACTCATAAAATAAAAATAATAAATAATATATATTTAAATGTATATATTTATGGCGCACACCTTTAATCCCAGCACTTGGGAAGCAGAGGCAGGCAGATCTCTGTGAGTTTAAGGCCATCCTGGTCTGCTTAGCGAGTTCCAGGTCAGCTGGGGCTACAGGGAGACCCTGTCTCAAAAATAGACCAAAAAAATTAAAAAATAAAGATAAAAATTAAAAAGAATAAAAAAGAGTTCAAGGCCAGGGGCTGGAGAGATGGCTCAGAGGTTAAGAGCACTAGCTGCTCTTGTAGAGGACCCAGGTTTGATTCTTAGCACCCACATGACAGCTACCAACCATCCATAACTCCAGTTTCTGGAGAATCTGACCCTCTCTTCTGACCTCTGTGGGCATTGCACAGCATGGGTACATTTATACACATGCAGGCAATACACTTACACACATAAAATAAAAATTTTTTTAAAAAGTTCAGGACCAGTATGAGCTACATCATAACACCCTCTTACACTAATGTTAATTCAAAATGGTAAGTCCCACAGTAGTGGAATGGTCAGGAAGTGTTCTGAAAGGGGACATTAAGAGGTTGTCAAGCAGAAGAAGAAGAAAAAATATTTGTCAAGAGTACAGACAGGACCAGCAGGCACAAAAAGGGTTACTGGAATGAGAAGTTGTGTAGAGTGATATGTGAGAATGATGTGAAAGAACAGTAAGAAATGTGCCTGATAGTTGGTGAGGACCAGGCCATATAGTACCTTGACAAATGTGGGCTTAGCCAGTAGATAGTGAGGAGCTGTAGAAAGGCTTGCAGCAAGAATGTGATCTGGCTCATCAGTCCTATTTTTTTTTTTTTTTAAAACATTTACTTATGGGTGGGAGAGGTGGTGAGGACGGCCATATAGTACCTTGACAAATGTGGGCTTAGCCAGTAGATAGTGAGGAGCTGTAGAAAGGCTTGCAGCAAGAATGTGAGAATGATGTGAAAGAACAGTAAGAAATGTGCCTGATAGTTGGTGAGGACCATGCCATATAGTACCTTGACAAATGTGGGCTTAGCCAGTAGATAGTGAGGAGCTGTAGAAAGGCTTGCAGCAAGAATGTGATCTGGCTCATCAGTCCTATTTTTTTTTTTTTTTAAAACATTTAGAGGGTGGGGCAAGGGCTGGTGTCAGTCCGGGCGGACCTCGGCCACCGGCGTCCGGGTGGAGCAAGGCCCGCTGAGATGGAGTTCCTGCTGGGGAATCCGTTCAGCACCCCTGTAGGGCAGTGTCTCGGTAAGGTCGCGCGTGGTGCAGGCGTCCGGGGAGCCATGGCAGTGGACCCGGTTGGTGAGGTCCGCGGGCCTGCGCCGGGCACCCGTGCAGTCTCACGTGCGGGTGGGCCTCTGCCAGGAAGGGGTATTATCTCACAGGTGGACCGGGCACCCTTGTGGTGAAGCCTCTTGCCTGACACTGGTGTCATCTCAGCCTGCCCGGAGGCACCCCTGGACAAAGCCACAACTTGGACTCAGAGAGGTTCCTTGCATCCTATCCCTCAGGACCCAGCCCTTCCGGGCTCTCCCTAGAAGTGGTGCCCATGTTGGGCTGCTTACCCTTGCAGATTGGGAGCTGTCACGCGAGCACCCTTAACCAGGCGGGTGTCTTGGTGCTACTGCTCCCCGGGCCTAGTTCTCCCAGAGCCTTTGTGGAATGTCACCTCCTTCTTCCACCCTTGTCCCTGTTCATGGGTACCAGCGGCTCTAAGACTGGGCACCCTCCCAGAAGATGCCCCATGCTCCCCGACTTGCTAATTTGAGCTGCAACTCAACCATGCTGTAGAAGGGACTGGAATGGGGGAGGCGCTGAGGGAAGGTGACTGTCTCATAGGGAGATGGCAAGATTACGGAGCCTCCTAGGAAAGAAGGGAGGCCGTGTTTAATGATGAGCATGCCATTGGAACCCGGAAACCTGGGCTCCAGTAGTGACTTTGTCAGGGACTCTCCTCTTGACCTTGCACCCTTTCTGTTTTGAAGGTCTCCTGTCCCATGAGGTGTTTGGAGATGAAATGTGGTGGGACCCTTCAAGTCTCAAAGTTTTGTTATTCAGTGTTTCCTCACATTGACTCCGGTTCTCATACTGTATTAAACTGGCAAGGCTGAAATCTTGCTGGCAGTATAATGTAGTGCTCAGCATTACTATTGGTCCTAGAGGGGGCCTCTGGGCTGACAGAAAAGGGAGCCAGAGATGGGCAGCATGCCAGACTGGGAAAAGCACAGGCAAAAGAACAACAAAGTACCTACTGTGGGATTTCCTTACTGAGAAAGCCACTTGCAGGCTGGGGCATAGGTGGAGTGTGAGTTTAGGACACACAAAACCCTAGGTTTGATCTCCAGCACTGCAAATAATAATAAGCAAGCAACTTGCCTTTTCACCCAAGGCAGGTTCTTATGCCAAGTTATCAGTTGAGAATGCTGATTAGTTTCTTTAAAACTGGGTCTCCAGGTTGGTCGGAGGTATGTTTTATAAACAGGGATCTGTACTGTCTTTATGATCTGCTGAACTGAATGGTGAAGGCAGTAGAGATTTACTTATTTCATACTTTGCATATGTATTTCTGGTTACTTTTAAGCCTTTGGGGGGGGCTGTGAACTCTCTGTTGGCTAACTGTCATTTAGGGGCCTTTCTTTCCTTTATTGTACATTGTCTTTTTGGCTCATCAGTCCTATTTTTTTTTTTTTTTTAAAACATTTACTTATGGGTGGGAGAGAGTGCATGCCATAGCATGCCAATGGAGGTCAAAAGACAACTTGTTGGGGTCAATCCTCTCCTTATACCTGAGTTATGGCCACTGAACTCGGGTCATCAGGCTTGGTGGCAAATGCCTTTACCCACTGAACCATCTTACCAGCCCTTGTCAGTGTGTTTAGAAAGCTTGTTCTGGAATGCTGGCACATACATTAGACAGGAGAGGCTGGAGAATGCCTGAGATCAAGTGTGATGATCCATAATAAGGCTTCAGCTAAGGTATGGCTGTGGAGTTTAAGAGAAGGTATATTGAAGAGGGGTTTAGGTTTGGTTTGATGATAGCTGTGCTTGGTTAGACATGCCTCTAATCCTAGCACTTGAGAGGCTGAGACAGGATGATCACCTTAAGTCTGAGACTAGCCTGGGCTATATTGTCCTGGGCCTGTCTGAGCAAAACAATCACTGTCTCAAAAAAAAAAAAAAAAAAAAAAAAAAACGCGGCTGCAGAGGTTGACTCAGAGGTTAAGAACATGTGCTGTTCTTGCAGAAGATTCAATGTTAATTCCCAATAGCCTTTGAGGGCAGCTCACAGGCACCTGAAACTCCAGCTCCAGGTGATCTGCTGCCCTCTTCTGGCCTCTGTTGGCACTGCACTCACATACATAAGCCCACACACAGATGAACACATAGACACATAGTTAAAAATAAAAAATAAGGGGCTGGAGAGATGACTCAGCAGTTAAGAACAGTGGTTGTTCTTGCAGAAGACCTGGGTTCAGATCCCAGCACCCACATGGCAGCTGTCTGTAACTCCAGTCCCAGGGGATCTGACAGCCTCTTCTGACCTCTGCAGACATTGCATGACGCAGGTACACTTATCTACATACACATAAAAGTAATAAATAAAATTTTAAAAATAGGGGGCTGGAGAGATGATTCAGCAGTTAAAAACACTAGTTGGTCTCGCAGAAGACCTGGTTTGAATCCCAGCATCCACATGGCAGCTAACAACTGTCCATAACTACAGTCCCAGGGGATCCAACAGCCTCTTCTGACTGCTGAGGGCATTGCACAACATGGGTGCACTTATCTACATGCAGGCAATACACGCATACACATAAAAATAATAAATAAAAAATTTTTTAAAAAATTTTATTTTTATTTTTTGTCTTTTTTTTGAGACAGGGTCTCCCTGTAGCCCCAGCTATCCTGGAACTCACTATGTAGACCAGCTGGCCTCAAACTCACAAAGATCTACCTGCCTCTGCCTCCCAAGTGCTAGGATTAGAGGCATGTGCCACCATGCCTGGTTAAAATCTTTTTTTAAAAAAGCAAAACAGGGCTGGAGAGATGACTCAGCAGTTAAGAGCACTGGCTGCTCTTGCAGAAGACCTGGGTTTGAGTCCCAGCACCCACATGGTGGCTAACAATCATCTGTAACTCCAGTTCCAGAGGATCTGACACCTGACTTCAGGCATTGCATGACACAGGTGCACTTACATATATGTGGGCAATATACTCATACACATAAAATAAAATTTAAAAAGCAAAACAAATGAAAATAAAGCCCCCCAGACCTTTCTAACTTTGGCTTAAGTTTGTGCAGCTTATTGACCAATTCCAATCTAATAGTAATACATTCAACACCAAGATATTTAGCTTTTAACCTTTTATCTTCATTGCTGGGGATTGAACCCAGGGCCTTCCACCTCCTAGACAAATACTCTACCACAGAGAGTATGTCAGCCCCTATCTTTGAATCTTGAGTTCTAGAAATGTTCAGTTGTACAGATGGGTTCACAACTTCAAACTTGCCATTGTCTCCCATTATTTTTCTGAGCACTAAGATTACAAGCATGTACCACTACTCCTGATGATTTTTTTATTTTTATTTATTTTTGGTCTTATTTGAGACAAGGTCTCCCTATAGCCCCAGCTGGCCTGGAACTCACTATGTAGACCAGGCTGGCCTTGAACTCACAAAGATCCACCTTCCTCTGCCTCCCAAGTGCTGGGATTAAAGGTGTGCACCACCATGCCTGGCTATTTTTTTAAATTTTATTTTATATGTATGAGTATTATGCCTGCATGTAGGTAAGTGCACCCATGTTGTACAGTGCAGTTGGAGGACAGAAGAGGCTGTCAGATCCCCTAGAACTGGAGTTATAGACAGCTGTCATGTGGGTGCTGGGATTCGAACCCAGGTCTTCTGCAAGAATAGTCGGTGTTCTTAACCACTGAGCCATCTCTCCAGCCCCGAGTTTGTGCTCTTAACTGCTGAACCACCTCTCCATACCAAAGTTTTCTGTTTTTACTGAAATATTTTATTTTACTTCTGTAGGAATAAAACAAAACCCTGTATTAAAAGTAAAAAGAAACAATATATTAAAAGTAACTCAAGTTTGGGGCTGGAGAGATGTTCAGTAGTTGAAAGTACTTTCTGCTCTTGCAGAGGACGCAGGTTCTGGGTACTCTCAACATATCAGGGTATATCTCACAACATATAATTACATAATGTTTGCTTTCTCTTTAAAAATGTAATTAAAGGGCTATGCCCTCTAATTCCAGCACCTGGGAGACTGAGGCAGGAGGATCAGTTCAGTCTCGGCTGCATAGTGAGTTTGAGGCCAGCCCAGGACACAAAGTGAGATCCTGTCTACAAACAAGCAAACAACGTAGTGAAAGATTGTATCATGAAGCTAGGTTTCTTTTCTATATACTTTTTCATGCACTTGTAACCCTGTTGGAGTCTGTATTTCACCAAGGTTAATTTATACACATTCTTTTACCTTTTATGTTCCTACTCTCAGTGAGGTTTCTCCAAGAATGTGTACTGGATAAATTGTATTTTCAATAGAACTTGAGAAGAATACATTTGTATTATTTTTGTCAGAGTTCAGTCAGGCTATACTAATAAAGGTGAGAGAGAGAGGAGAGAATAATGAGAGTAAGAAAGAGACTATAAATAGCATGTACTCAAATATGTGGATGATTTTTTTTCTCTTCATAACATTTGTAAGAAATACTTCTGTGTGCCAAAAGTTGATGGTACTTTTTGTGTTTAAATGCGCATATTGTGGCATGCACAGCAACCTATACGAGACAGTATTCTTCCACTATATTGGTTCTGGGGTTTGAATCAGGTTGTCAGACTTGATGGCAAGCACCTTTACCTGTTGAACCATCATCTTGCTGGCCTGGAACTGAATTTGTTTCTGTTTTTTATTTTGTCTTTTTGAGACAGGGTCTTCCTGTAGCCCCAGCTAGCTTGGAACTCGCTATGTAGACCAGGCTGGCCTTGAACTCACAGAGATCCACCTGCCTCTGCGTCCCAAGTGCTGGGACTAAACAGCTTCTGGAACTGAATTTTTTAATGTAATTTCATGACTTTAAAAATCTACGAACTACATAGACATTGCTGATCAAGAGCAGTTCTGTCCTCACAGGAATTTCCCTATGTGGTGCTGTTCTAGAAGACTTCCTCCCGGACTCTAAGGGTGGATTGTTTGGATGTAGCAGTCATAGTGAGCATCACACTCCCAGCTGCATTGGTTGGGACCATCACTGCCTTCCTAGTGCTAGCCCATGGGAAGGCAGAGGCTTTCACAGCTCCCCTTTGAAATCCCCCTTGGACTTCTGCAGTTGTTGCACTTTAAATTGATAGCATTTGTGTTATTATTGAACCATTCTCCTCCCTTTCCATTCAAGTAGGCTCTAGCTTTTTGGTTTGCAGAAGGATGGCTAGTGTGGGGGAGGACTGAGGAGTCCCCTTTTCTACCAGACATGACTTGGGATCAAAAAGTCTTTGGGGTCCACACTGTGCCAATTGTATCAAGCACAACATTAGGGTATGTGTAGAGGCTGCAACCTGTTGGCTGGAATGAGAGAAAGGGCCCCTGAGGTAACTCTCTCCCTACCCTCCATCTCTTTTCCAACATTACCCTGGGGTCTAACACTCCCCACCTCTGTTGTTCAGGTGCATCCACTGTGGTGTCATCCACCTGACCTTGGCCTTGCTGAAAAGCCACATCCAGGAACGACACTGCCAGGTTTTCCACAAATGTGCATTCTGCCCCATGGCCTTCAAGACTGCCAGCAGTACGATGGAGCACAGCTCTACCCAGCACCCCACCCAGCCCCACAGACCCTCTCAGTGAGTGTAGCTGCAGCACCAGCAGGTCCTGTGGGACAGAGAGGGTGGCCTGGATGCTGGAAGGGTGGCATAAGGATGGGCTGGGGAGCTGAGGCTATGGCAGAGATGTGTGGAGTCTACTAGGACATCCCAAGTCAGGGAAAGATGCACGCTGGCTCAGGCTGATGTGTCCCCAAACTTGATCCTAGTTCAGAGAGAGCAGAGACAGAGTAGAGGGGCTGTGTCATCCTGCCAGCAGAGCCCTGGGCACCTCACACCCCCGGGGCTTGTCTCGTCAGGCTCATTTATAAGTGCTCCTGTGAAATGGTCTTCAATAAGAAGAGGCACATTCAGCAACATTTTTACCAGAATGTCAGCAAGGCACAGGCTGGTGTCTTCAAGTGCCCTGAGTGCCCACTCCTGTTCCTGCAGAAGCCAGAGTTGATGCAGCATGTCAAGGTAGGGTGTCTTGGGAAAGGTTGGAGAGGAGGGAACACATCTCAGGTTGGGGGTCTGATTCTGTGCATCTTTCCCCTTACCTAGTTAGTAATCGCTCTCCTCATCCCCAGAGCACCCATGGTGTTCCCCGGAATGTTGATGAGCTATCAAGTCTCCAGTCTTCAGCAGACACATCCTCTAGCCGCCCTGGCTCTCGAGCTCCCACTGAACCTCCAGCTACTAGTGTAGCTGCTCGAGGCAGCTCCCTGCCTGCTGGCCGTTGGGGCAGGCCAGAAGCCCATCGCAGGGCTGAAGCCAGGCCTCGGATGAGAAGCACTGGTTGGACCTGCCAGGAGTGCCAGGAGTGGGTTCCTGATCGAGAAAGCTATGTGTCCCACATGAAAAAGAGCCACGGTCGGGTAAGTGCAGTGCCAAGGTCCCTGGGCTTCTCTCCTATGAGGTTAGGATCTCCTATGTGACTAGCATCTTCAAGTTCCTGGTGGTTTGGGCAGGTTGGGTACTACAAATTTGAGGTCTTAAGGGTATTCTTTCTAGTCACATCATCTAAAGAGCCATATACACCCAGGACTTAGAGTTTTGATACTTTGGGACTTGTTCCCTCTTACCCTAGACCCTGAAGCGATACCCCTGTCGGCAGTGTGAACAGTCCTTCCACACCCCCAGCAGCCTTCGTAAACACATCCGCAACAACCACGATACAGTAAAGAAGGTCTACACTTGTGGGTGAGTGTGGAGGTGGGACTGAGGAGGCAAGCAGTTCAAAAGGGTGTGTCTGAGGCACCACTGGGGGTTTTCTCTGCTGTGAGATTGGGGCAAGAGACAAATGAGTTTCTGATGGGTAAACATTGGCTAAGTCAGAAATCATGTAGATTAGACACCAGCTTCCAGAGCCTGACAGCTCTTGAGCTTTTCCCATCTTACTTTTTAGTTCTGGATTCACTCAGTAGGGCCTGATACCTGGAGAGTAGAAGTGGTGATGTGATTCCTTAGGTTCCAGGATGTGTCCTGGTCCTTTTATATTGATCACTGTCCTAGCACTGGGCCCTCTAGATGGTATTGTCAGAAATGAAGGCCTGGTGTCAAGTATGCAAATCTTTTGACCTGCTGCCATCTGCCCTTTTGGCTGTCTTGCTGTTTTGATCTGGCCAGGAGCACCTACACCAGCATGTCTCCCTGTTCACTCAGCTCTCCTTCCTGCTATTTGTGAGGAACACCCGGGGAGCCTAGGGTCTTACCCACCTCTCTAACTGTTCTTACAGATACTGCACTGAGGACAGCCCCAGCTTTCCTCGACCCTCCCTTCTGGAGAGCCACATCAGCCTTATGCATGGTATCAGAAACCCTGATTTGAGCCAGACGTCCAAAGTCAGACCTCCAGGTGGACATTCTCCTCAGGTGAGTGTGGGCTCACTACCTGAAGCTGGCTGCTCGGTGAGGCCTAAGGCTAGAAAGACATTAGGAGGGCTAAGGCTCATTAGTAGTTATGGCCATGGAGAAAGCAAAATGACACTTTCCCTCTGTGTGGTCTCTTTAGTTCTGTGTGTCCCATTAGGATACTGAACACAAGTAGGAGACAGAAACAAAGAACCATGGGGCATCCCATTAGCCATTTGTTGCTGTGACCCTACTTCTGCTTCCTAGCAGTCCTTTGAGGCAGAGGTGGACAGAGCTGCCTTCTCAAGGGAGGATGATCACTTCCTTGCTCCACTAGCTGTGGGAAAAGCCAGGCCTAGAATCTGCTATTCCATCCCCTTGCCCCTCTTGCATGCCTCCTTCCTATTTCTGGTCAGCTTCTGAAGTAGCCTGACTGCTCCTCTGCTGTAGACTCTTCTCACGCCACTGTATAGGACCAAGACCTCTGCAGAGGGCTCAGGTAGGTCTGAGAACTACCTGGAGGTCATGGACTGCTTGAAACTTGGGCTATGTAGGGAGTGGAGATAGGTACAAATACACTGCTTCTAGGACTTACCTGTTAGCTTTGGCCTGGGGCATAATGTGTTCAAGGGTGTCTGCTGCAGTGACAAATAAGTAATTCAGATATCTGCTGGAGGAGACTCAGTCCACTGTGGGTTAGTGTGCTCTCACTAGAAGAATGAAGCTTCTGTGTTTGCTTACATGCAGACAAGCTCCAGTATATGTTAATGTTATTACAAAAATGTAGAGTGAGAGAAGTGAGCATGGCGTGCAATCATTTTATAGCTTTTTTCTTTTTTTCCTTTTTTTAGTACATGTATGTTTCTTAGAATCATAAAACCCAGGTATTGTTCTCTGAAGAACAATCCTAAGAAATGGAATGGACAGGACTTAACCTGCTCTCTACACTTCCCATACTATGTTACATGTACACATTAACATTAAGAACAAAGAACTTGTTCTATCCCAAAAACCCACAGTGGAAGGAGAGAACTGACTCCTAAAAGTTGTCCTCTGACCTCCACATGAATGCCATAGTGCATACATTCCTCCCCCCATAAATAAACGAATAATTTTTTAAAAAAAGAACCTGCAGCCAAGTGTGGGGCTTTAATCCCGGCAGGCAGGTGGATCTTTGCGAGTTCAAGGCCAGCCTGGTCTACATAGTGAATTCCAGACCAGCTGGGGCTACAGGGAGACCCAAAAAGACAAAAAAACAACAACAAAAACCAAACTTGCTAAGCTTGGGAGACATACACAGTTGATACAGAATTTGAGGGGGAAAGGTGGGAGGATTTCTGCAAGCTGAAAGCCCACCAAACTGCATTGTGAGACCCTGTCTCAAAAAGATATAAAAACTACCGAGTATGGTGGCACATGCTTTTAATCCCAGTATTCGGGAGGCAGAGGCTGGCAGATCTCTGTGAGATGAGGCTAGCTTGGTCTACATAGTTTCAGGCCACCTGGAACTACAGGGAGAATCCTGTCTCTAAAAACAACACAACAGCAACAACAAAACCCACCACCAAACAAGAATGAGATTAAACCAAACCCTGAGCTAGGCAGTGTCTTCTTTGAGGGCTTTGTCCACACTGGTCATATCTGAGGGCTCACACCCAGGGCTCGCCTGGTCTCTGCTCATGCTGTCTTTTCTTTCAGGTGAACCATCTAAAAAGACCAATCAGCAGAATGACAGATGCTCCAGGCACCAGCAGTGGCACAACTGTCTCATCTACCAAAAGACACAAGTCCCTGTTTCAGTGTGCAAAATGTAGCTTTGCCACAGACTCAGAACTTGAGTTTCAGAGCCACATACCTCAGCACCAGGTGGACAGCTCCACAGCCCAGTGTCTCCTCTGTGGCTTGTGCTACACCTCTGCCAGTTCCCTCAGCCGTCACCTATTCATAGTCCACAAAGTGAGAGACCAGGAGGAAGAGGCAGAAGAAGAGATCATGGAGGTGAAGGTGGAGGTATCTGATCCAGAGGAGTGCTCTAGGGAAGAAGTGGCCATAGAAACTAGAGAGAATGGACTGGAAGAATGTACCAGTGAACCTTTAGGGGCTGACCCAGAGGCGAGGAGATTGCTAGACCTGGCCCTGGCAGAAGACAGTGCCCAAGATACTCTCAGTCAACCAATGGCCTCTCAGGACCAGGACAGCCATGCTCTCTCTCCTCAGGTGTGACCAAAGGCTCTGTAGCCATTGGTCAGGCCATGGCGTCTTCCACCTGCTGTGCAGACTGTGGGAAATAAAAGGCTCTGCCCCAGTGTGTATGGCTGCTGTGCTCTGGAGCACTGTCTGCCCTAAGCTGTGAGTTCTGGATATCCCCTAGCCCCAGAAAATGTGGGGTCACCCAGGATCCTTCACAGCTCTGAATTTGCTTCTGTTATTTATGCCTTTGTGCTGCTTCTTGATACCCCAATTCTCATTGTGTCTTTCCAACTCCAGGCTACATAGGTGATCCAATGCTGTCATCTCAGCTTGCAACCTCTCAATGGCAGTGCTCTTCTGGGGTCCCTCCCTGCTGCCTTCAGCTGGAGACTCCTTAGAGCTTTATTTCCCTGCAGCTCTCCTTCCTGCTCAGAGCCTGAGAAGGAAAGGAATGAAGGGTGCTGACAGTTCCTCTGGGAGGGCTCTTGGGGCCCTTGCTCACCCTCCCCTCCCTTCTTGTCTTCTCTGATTCTTTTCCCCAGAAACATTCTGAGGAATTCATCTGTCACATTGGCTGACCACGTCTCTGAGGGTGGCAGAAAGGTCGGCACACACGTGTTTGAAACTAAGGGCAGCAGGAGGTATGGCCAAGGCAGGCAGGTGCCAAGAGCCAGACCTTCTTCAGGAGCTGTGGCTGGGTTTTCACTCTGTTGTCTGGACAGGCGGGGCTTGGGGCACACAGACATTGGGATATTTGTATTCTTGCTCCTGTGCCATTAGAGAGACTGCTGCCTCAGGCAGGCCAGCTCCTCCTCCTCTCGGCTACACTCATGTTGCTCAGACTATATTTCAATAAAAAAAAAAAAAAACCTTCTTACCATGCAGGTAGGCTCTTGTATTCCTCTTCAAATGAGCTGGCCTTTCCCTGTCCTACCTGAGGCTCTTCCCAGACTGCCCCAATTCTCCTGTCTCTGAAGGAAAACTGCTTCCTGCAGTCCATAGAGGCTCTAGGTTCTAGAGCTTATGGTTAGGAAACTAGGAACCCCGTACATCTTGGTTCTCTGGAGACCTCTGAAGGAGCAGAGGGAGGGTCTCAGTACTGTTCAAGAGCCATCTCCAGGGTCTCCCCTGGCCTGGTTGCATTGGCTTTAAGGCCTATTGAAATTCTTTGGGCATCTTTCCTACAAAGGATTTTCAACCTAAGAGACTCTTGGGGAAGGGTGAAAAGGTGGAATTCTGTGACTTGGTACAGCACTTCAGAGACAGAATTACCATTGCTACAGTGAACCCAGATGTGGCAGAGCTAGGATTAGATGAGAGCTGGGGCCTGCCCAAGCACAAGGGACAGATTGTGAGGAGGTATCCTCTGACCCAAGTGGCTCAGGCTAGGTCCAGCAGGCTCCTGTGTGGCACAGGGAAGTGTGTGCTGACTGGGTTCTTAGAAACAATCTTTCAAAGGTGGCATGAATATCAATAATAAATTAAGTTGGATAAATATGCCTGACCTTTTCACAATTGAAAATTTTTTTCCTCTATCAAATGCCAAATTTTTAGTGAAAGGCTAATTGCAATGGGAAAGGTTAGTGCTTCCCTCAGATCTAGAGAGACTTTGCTGTCTGACCATTTTAATGAATGTTCTTCCTGGCAAGGCTGCCACCTCCCTGCATCCCAGCTGCCAGTAAGGATGCTTGTCCTATTGCAGCTGCCTGCAAAGCCTGAGTGAGCCCCAAAGTAGCCATTGTCCCTTTTCTAATTCCCATCACTTTGTACTCTGGTTCTGTTCAGATGGTATTAAGTCTTCCACCTTTTACCAATTCCCATTACAGGGAGTGACTCTACCCCAACTCATAAGAACAGGTTCTTAGGGAGGCAAATAGAGGGCTTTGAGATGAATGGCTGAATTTCTTCCTGCTCAGGAACCATGGGAGCTAGAACACACAAGGGTCAAACACCTATCCTGGTACCAGATACATCCTCTTAGGGTAAAGGAATACAGAGCTGCTCTCTTAAGAAGCCTGGGTTCTTCCTGTCCTTAACCAGCTCCTGACAAACTACACAACCTCACAGGTCCCTGTCCTTCAAAATAGAATTAGGAATTCCCTGTCAAGATTTTTGTAAGATGGTGAACATGCAAGCACTTTCTAGATTCCAGAACTCTGTGAACATGGATCTGCACTTTAGGGATTGGAGAGTGGAGCATACTTCATATACTGGGTATCAGTTAAGAATTAGCTGGCATGCCTATCCTTTATTCAGTAATAATGAGTATTATAGCATTTGAAGCCCTGTTTGTGCCCAGCATCTTGTTTAACACTTTCCTGAAGACTCATTTAATCCTCACAAAGGTCCAGTTATCCCCTCATTTTACAGAGAAGAAAATGGGCTCAGGAAGGCTAAATAACAGATATGTTGGCCCACCTGTAATAATGGTGCTGAAACAAACCTGTTAACCACTGTGTTGCCTTAGTGACCAAGGCTGCTGTGGCCTCTGCCAGCCTGTTGGCAGTGTGCAGCCATTCAAAGCCCACCTTAATATTGCTTAAACAGGTGGGGTGCCCCATAGTGTCAGATCCTCCGTGGAGCCCACCTGTGCCTTGTCATCCCAAGGAGGGCCCTGAACATACACAAGAAGAGTTCCTTCACCATTAATTCTCACTGGAGTCTACATTGCTATCTGAAGACCTTCATTTCTTGAGAACTGTCTAGAATAGGTTACCTAACCTTCCCAGGAAGTACATGGTTCCCTCCGAGTCCAGTATCTTCTGATCTCTCACGTGTGTTTTAATGGTTGTGCTATTGTTTGTCATCTCAGAGAATGCTTTTCGGGAACAGGCACTTCACTGCTGCAGTGAATGCTTTACTGATCAAGTTAGATAAGATCCCTACCCTCTAAAAACTACCATTGAATACACTGAGGCTTGACAAATGACTAGTATTTATTCTTCAACTGCTTTATCTTTGTAAAATGATATGCCAGATTATCATGAGCTAATTGTAAAGAACTTGCCCCTTATGTAACCAGTCTGGATTTTTTTTTTTGGTCTTTTTGAGACAGGGTCTCCCTGTAGCCCCAGCTGTCCTGGAACTTACTATGTAGACCAGGCTGGCCTTGAACTCACAGAGATCCACCTGCCTCTGCCTCTGCTGGGATTAAAGGCATGTGCCACCATGCCCGGCTACCAGTCTGGATTTTTAAAACAAACAGTTGTGTCCCCAGAAGCTCCACACTTTGCCTTGTCCCAGAATAAGGAACTTCTGTCCTGTTCACTGTACATTCAGCACCAGGTAGTTCCTTTCATTTTTTGTTTTGAAAAATTGACAGATATACATGGTAAGGCATTCAACAATACAAAAGAATATACAATAAAGAGTAAACTTCCTGAGGGGGTCAGCCTCCCCTCCCTTGCCAGAGTTAATCACTGTTATCTATATCTTGTGTATCCTTTCAGAGCAATTCTATGCATTTATGAGTTCATAAATATGTATATTTATATATATATATTTTTAATACAAACAGTAGCATTCTATACATAATGTTCTGAAGCTTGTTTTTTTTTTTACTCATAGGTATTTTAGAAGTGCTTCCAAACTTATATACTGAATCGGTGTAATCCTTTAAAAACTTCAAGCAGTCTTGCATTCAAAAAGTGTATGGATGAGTGAATGAATGTGTGCATGATGGATAAAGTGATTCAGTTGGTAATGTAACCACAGAGTTCTCTCAGAGCCTGACCTGATCAAAGCAGGACCTTCTAGGTTCTGGAATATGCCTTCACCAAGGGGTTCAGGCTGCCATTCACCTTCAGCAACAGACACAGTAGCCTTAGGAAGTGGGCACTGGGTGCCTTGGGCCATGGGAGGAAAAAGCAGACTTGAGCCATGTTTTCCAAATACTTGAATTTTCTTCAAGCCCCTGTTTAAAATGCCTTTTTGTTATTGGAAAATGATAGAACATTATTAGAGAAAATTTTAAACATTTATAGTATCATCCTCTTAGTATTGCAGTTTTCATTTTTGCATCACTTTCTAGACCTTGAGTACATTCATAATTGAATTTATGGTGTAATTCTAATTATAATAACAATTAACATCCACACTCTGTGTGTGTGTGTGATCACACCCAGATGCTCATACTGGGCAAGCACTCTACCTCTGAGCCACTTCCCCATCCCTTTTATTGTTTTATTGAGAAGGTCTTGATGTGTGCCCAGGTTGTCCTCAAATTTGCAGTTCTCTGACTTCAGTTTCCTGAATGCTGGGATTACAGGCATGTACCACCACACCAGCCTTCTAATTTTTCCTAAGTGATCTCTCTGGCAGGGTGAGAGACTGGAGAAAGCTAGTGACTAAAAATCAGAAACCCTAGGTCCCAATCTCTGTTTGATGGTCACTATATGATGAGATTGTTTGATACCTTTGGGCATCTTGAGCTTGGCTTGAGTCTATCTTCTCATTCCTCCTCTATCTTCTCATATATTCCTGCCAAAATAGGCCCAGCTCAAAGGCAAAAATTCTTACTGTATTTTCTCTTCTATTTACTCATCGACTTTTGACTTAGAAATATACAAAATGGAAAAGATCCTTCTGCCCCCCCCAAGAAGTATCATTTTTATTTGTGTATATAAACCTATACATACATATATGTAGTACTGGGACTTTGCATATGCTAGGCAAGCATTTAAAAGTGAGCTGTCCCTAGTTTGTTTATTTCTATTTATTTCAGTTTGCATCAGATTTATTCTTTTTCATACTGAGTTCTAGCTCTTAGGACTTTTGACTTTCATTTAAAAAAAATTTTTTTCAATATATATATATTTTGAATTTTTGTGTATTTCTTACAATATATCTTGATCATATTTAGAGCCCCCCCCCCCGCAAACTGTCACCTCCCATAGTCCCACCACTGGATTTCATGCATTCTGTCATATATGTTAAGACCTATCTTAACTATCAAGTTTGTGTCCCCAGATGTCCCTCGATGTGAGTTTTTCTGGAGCCTGGTTGGCCTGTCTAGTGGCACTCCCTTAAAGAAGACCAACTATCCCTCACCCAGCAGTGATCATCTGTCAGTAGTTCCTCAGCTAAGGTTGGAGCTTCTTGCCTATTCTTTTGGCTTTTATTGAGCCTTTCCAAGTTTGAGCTTTCTGTCTATAAATCCCAAGAATCTTCAAATCCTCCAGGCATTTTAGGGACCTATGTTCAGATGAATTCTTGATCTAGTTTATTGTATAGTGCATTGGCCTTTACATATGCTCTTATTGGCCCACCTTGGTGGCGCATGACTTTAATCCCAGCACTTGACAGAGGCAGGCAGATCTCTGTGAGTTCAAGGCCAGCCTGGTCTACATATCAAGTTCAGGGTCAGCTGGTGCTTCAGGAAGGCAATGTCTCAAACAAAAGCAACACACACACACACACAAACACATATGTGCTCTTATTAAGCAGGGCATGGTGGTGCACACCTGTAATTCCATCAAATGGAAGGTAGATACAGGAGGATTAGGAGTTCCAGATGGGCCTGGAAATACATGGGACCATGTCTCAAAAAAAATTAAAGTGTGTGTGTGTGTGTGTGTGTGTGTGTGTGTGTGCTGAGGACAGGGTTTTAAAAACTCTGTAGCACAGGCTCACTTGTAACTCACAATAGCCTCAAACTCAGAGATCTGCCTGCCTCTGCCTCCTGAGTGTTGGGACCAAAGGAGTGAGACATGCCTATTTAGGCCAGCTGGGAGGAGCCCCCATCACATGAATTCACCAGTGACCAAGGACCAGTAGCATCAGTTAACTTCAAGGGTGGACATACTATCATATAGACAACAATTGTTTGTTGGGGACCCCTGCTGTTTGGGTCGCAGTCTCTCCGTGTTCGGATAGCCTAAGGGGCTCGGCGTTTTTATGCAGAGACTCCCCTTTCCAGCAGGGCGCCTTCTGCTCTCCTTCCTGGCTCACCTTTGAAGTGCCTGTCACAGATACATGACCTCTGGCATAGGAACTACCAGGTTTTAATCAGACATTGTCTGACAGTCTGATAGAAACCCACCGCCACATGTAAATGGGGCATCCTAGGAGCACCTATCAACTGAGGCTTTTGCTACTGCCTCCACACTATAAATCTGGTTTCACCCCAATAAAGTGGAGCTGAATCACTGAATAAACTGAAGCTGTATCACTGAACTTGTCTGGAGCTGTATCTGTGTCTCACTGCGCCTGGAACCAGCCTGTAATTCAGTCTTCCTGGAGGGGGCTATCCAACCACTGGAGAAGATCCTGCATTCGCCGTTCCTGCACCTCCTGTCGTGATCCGGTGGCCAACGGATCCCGTGCACAGAGGGAGCGGCCCGGTGCGGGCTTGCGGATCTGCTGAGCCCCGCCTGCACTTCCAGCCACGGAGAGTAGACCCGGCGCCCAGCAGCGCACGACCACTGACCTGCCACACACAACAATTGTTTAAATCTACTATACCTAAAATTGAAGCCCATCACTTTGTCTCCATTCTCTGTGAAAATGGGGATGGCTGATTGTGCTTTTGATGTTTGAGGAGAGTAACTAAACAATTCTTCAGTTTGCTGTGCATTAAACTAGGAAGTCCCACTGTTTGCCAAAGGCACGCTGTTCATAACTCCTATTTTCCTCTGGGGTTTTCTAGTCCATAAACCAATTTGTTTGGAATTTTCCCCTAATTCCATTGTACACACACAGGACTGAATAATTTTGGTATCTGAAAAAGAAACTGTGTGCAGCTTTCTAAGAAGCTTAGCCTGGAGGAGGTTTCACATTTCCTTCCTCAGCTAGTTGAGATGAGGCTCCTGTATATGATCCTTAAATAAAGTCAGGCATGGTTGTGCACACTTGTAATTCCAGTGCTAGAGAGATAGAGGCAGAAGGATCAAGAGTTCAGGGTCATACTTAGCTACATAGTAACTTGGAAGCCAGTCTGTACAACACAAGCCTTTGTCTTAAATTTTTTTTTTTTAAATGGAGCCAGGAATGTGGCACATGCCTTTAATTCCAGCACTTGGGAGCCAGAGGCAGAAGGATCTCTGCAAATTTGAGGCCAACCTGGTCTACATAGCAAGTTCCAGGCCAGCTGGGGCTATATAGGTAGATCCTGTCTCAAAAACCCAAAATAATAAGTAAAATGGGAAGAACAAAATGGGGATGGGGTTGGGCAGAGAGTGAGGAAGTGATGATAAGGAAAGAAAGCTTGTACTGGGGAGGAAGATTGCAAGTTCAAGGTCTGCCTGGGCTACAGAGGTTGGTTGTGGAAGTGCTGGGGATGTAGCCAGTGGTAGAGTCTACCTAGTTAGACCCTAGCACTGAAAATAAATAAAATAGTGAAGGCAGCTAAGTTTGAATAGTTTAGAACCTGAAAACAATGCCCTTGACTTTAGGGTGGTGATAAGAAGGGGCTTGATTTGTTAGGGGCATCCCTCTCCTGGGCAGTAATGGTACCTGCTGTTACTGAGAGGTATTCTTTTTTTTTTTTTTTTCTCTTTTTTGAGACAGGGTCTCCTTGTAGCCCCAGCTGGCCTGGAACTCACTATGTAGACCAGGCTGGCCTTGAACTCACAAAGATCCGCCTGCCTCTGCCTCCCAAGTGCTGGGATTAAAGGCGTGTGCCACCGGCTAGAGTTATTCAAATTTTTTAAAGATTGAGAAAATATAGCTGTTGAGGAAAAGGAAAGCTAAAATACAAAACATTCCTCAGAAAGCACCTTATGCCAGGCATGGTGGTGCACGCCTTTAATCCCAGCACTCGGAAGGCAGAGGCAGGTGGATCTCTGTGAGTTCAAGGCCAGCCTGGTCTACATAGTGTGTTCCAGGACAGCTGGGGCTACAGGGAGACCCTGTCAAAAATACCAAAAATAAAATAATAATAATAATAATAATAAATCTTTTTTTAAAAAAATTGGGAGGCAGATGCGTGCATATCTCTGTGAGTTCGAGGCCAGCCTTGTCTACATAGTGAGTTCCAGGCCAGCTGGGGCTACAGGGAGACCTTGTCTCAAAAAGACCACCCCCCAAAAATAGTAAATTTTTTTAAAAAATGTGGAATTATGAGAAGAAAATAGTAAGAAGAGACTGGAAGGTGTGTAGGCATTTTAAGTCACCGCGCTAACATGACCCTGAGATGGGCACCCATCTGTGGAGCTTTGACTAGAAGCTAGTGATGCACTATAAGGTGATCCTTACTGTGACCAAGTTCTGTTCTACAGCTCATGGAAAAAGGCCATCTCAGCATGAGTCCACATGGGTGCCGAAACCACAAAGTAAGATCTAGAACGTCTACAGGCTAGAGTGCAGTTAATGACCATTGGGGCTCCACTTTGTCCCCAGAGGCTCACATGTGAAGTATGGTCATTCACAGCACAGTAGCCAAGTGGACATGCCCAGAGAGGAAGATCCTGTGGGATGTAAGGCTCTCTGTGCCATTTTGTGCAAAGAGCAGTTGAAGGAGTTTAATGCTTCATCAAGAAGAGAGATATTGAGC